CCGCCCCCAGCCCAGCGGTCTCCGCAGGGCGCCACGCTCGGCACCAGAGCCGCGCCTACCCCTTGAATCTCGGCCGGCGACCTCTGCAGTCGCGCGTCTGGCCGTCCGGGCTTAGCAGGCTCCCGGAGCAATTGGTAATCGCTCAGGAGGAGGCTGCTGTGAGCAGGTGCACGCTAACGCGCGTGCAAGAGACTGAGAAAGGACTAGTGTACATGTAGGTGAGGGCGAAGTGTGACTGCGGACTCCCGCCTGCGGCTGTGCTGGGACAGACCGCGCCGCTGGGCCACCCTAGCCGGGGTGCCCGGGACCACGCTCGCGGGTGCCAGGACTAGGGCGGCCCAGATCCCCTTCCCCAGCTCACGAACCCTGGGGTTCGAGATTGTCGATTGCTTACACACACTGCAACCAGCCAAGGAGCAGTGCTTAAGCACGTTTTTAGGGCCAGCCAACGGCGTGGTGGTTACAGGCGCTGGGTCCCACGGGGCGGCTCCTAGACTCAGTCCCAGACTTGGCTGAAAATCACACTGGGCCTGTGTGCACGCTCTCAAAATCCCTAGGGTGGGAACCAGCAGTTAGCCTAATGGCTATGTCGCTGAACTCCCACGTAGTGGACTGCGGTTCGTGTCCCCGACCCAGTGGCTTAAAACTCACACCGGGCGCGTGTGCGTGCGTGCCCAAGTCTGTCTCTATGTCTCTCTCTGTCTGTCTGGCGAGCGCACACGCCCTACAGTGAAAATCTCTCAAAAAAAAAAAAAAAATCCCTAGGGTAAGGGAGGAGATGGGATTGCAGCCTGTCCAGCCCCCTTGGTTGGAGCGGTTTCTCACTTCCCTGTCTGGCAACACTTGCCCTGTGGCAAAAAAAATAACTGGGCTCCTGAGATGCTTGCCCAAATCCCCTAGAGGAGGTGGGGGAGGGTTTGCAGGTGACTACATTCCCTGGGGGGGTGACTTCTCACTTCCCTTTTCCTGTCTCTCTCCAGAGCACACCCTCCCTATGGCAAAAATCTTTTCAAAAATCCTGAAAGGAGAAGGAATTGTGGGTGGCCATCCCTCTCAGGATGATTTCTCACTTTCCTTGCCTCTCTGGCAAGTGTGTGTGCTCTATCGCAAAAACGTTAAAGAAAAAAATTTTACAGCTATGGTCATCTTGAACTCTCCTAAGCCCCAGTGAGATACTGAAAAATAGAAACGTGGTCGCTGTGTTTGCCAAGTCGTCGCTTACAAAGGCCACACAGGAACTGGAGCAGGCATGGGACGTGCCTGTCGTTTGTGTGGTTCCAAGCCCTGACTTTCTGGGCTCAGGCTGCTGACCCATCTCTGAACTGGAACTGGATGCACAAGGTTGCACACTGCAAACTTTTTAAGTGGCCAGTTTGGGTTTCTTTCCCCAATTTTTTTTTTTTTTTTTTTTTTTTTTTTTGGAGATTTTGCTAAAGGACACATGCGCTCAGCAGAGACACAGAGAGACAGATAGCAAGAAATCACCCCCAAGGAGGATGGCCACACCACAATCCCTTCCCCATTCTCCTCTTGGGATTTTGGGCACCCATGCACACACACCTGGCATGAGTTTTAAGTCGTTGGGTCCCAGATTCAAACTGGGGTCAACTACATGGGAGTTCAGTGACATTACTATTACGTTACATCATCTGCTGGCTCCCCCCAGCAATATTTTTAATAATCATTCTAACTCTATTTTTAATTTGACCAGAGAGGGACAGAGCAAGTGAACAAGAAAGCAAGCCACCAAGTCTGGGACTCGAACTGTAGGTCGACTATGTGGGAGTCCAGCGCCCTTAACCATCACGCCACCTGCCAGCCCCCCAAAGCAATTTTAAATTTACCAAACGATTTAGCAGAATGTGCTGAGACCTGCCAGGCAAAAAAGGAAGGAGACACACAGCCCCCACCCCACCCGCCATTTGGAGGGAGACACCCGCCCCCCCCCCCCCCCGCCATAGTGGCAGCGACGGTGGATTTTGGAAAGGACAACCACATGGACAGAGACACACATGTGGAGAAAAGTGGGGACCGGGTGGACCAGACATCTCTGATGGAGACCGTGGGCTCCAAGTTCCCCATTTATTCTCCTAGGGCAATGGGGAAGGGAGCAGCGGAAGGGAAAGCAGGTGTCTTCTAGAACCAACTGCAGCTATGGAGCATCCTGCGTCCTGGTCTTAATAAGTCCCCCGGTCTTCCCTGCCTGCAGCAGCTTCCCTAAGCTCACAGGCTGTGCAGCTTCGGGCCAAGTGAGAGTCTGATCTGCTGGTCTTTAAAGATCACTAATAT